CCCTGTCATACGCCTTTTCCAAATCCATAAATGCCACAAAGACCCTTTAGCCTTATCTAAATACTGTTCACTTATATGTTTCACTGTAAAACATATATATATATATATATATAATATTAATATATATATATATATATATATATATAATATATATATATATAATATATATATATATATATATAAATAAGTAGGAAGTACATAAGAGTAATGATGTAAAGAGTAAGTGGTGAGAATGAGTCGTGGTAATGATAAGTTATTGTTGCAGGTTGGACGCTTGTTGCAGCCCACACTGATCATGATTGATGCTGCTGATAAGATGTTCATCAAGAAGGTGGGTGAAGTAATTACTGGAGTATCAGTCCCAACTGTGACTCGTGTAGCAATATCCGGATCCAGGGAAAAGTCACAAAAAAAAATCACAGAGAAAAGGTCACACCGTAACCTGTCTTAATGTGACCTTTTTACCTATGACTTTTATTCCCTAGCCTAAATTGTGACTTATTTTCTGTGACCTTTTTCCCGGAGACCTAAGTATACCTCGTTCACTTGTCTGTACCACCAGCTGATGTAGACCTAATTATGTGTAAACTTTGCTAGTGTAAACTTTCGTAGTCCAGCAGAAAAGATTCATGACCTCGGACACAACTCACAAATATCGTTACAAAACATGGGATACAATACCGACAAGATGAGTAATTAAGCACATGCGCAACACCTGGATGTCTTCATCTGAAGACGTTTCGCCAACCAGTGTCTTTATCAATTTCACTGTCTTCTGTGTTTAGTTCAGTGAGACTGAGAGACTGATTACCTCACACTCTGATATATTCGCATACCACCTCTGTATTGGACTGATGAAGCCACTGGTTGGCGAAACATCTTCCAATGTTACCAATTCCCCACAAATGTTCAAGACACGTCCACAGAGGCACATTACCAGCCATTCTGGCAAAATACCCTAACTTTGCCTATTTTAAATAACTGGTAAGCAGAATTCAGATTCATTTTTTTTATTTCTCTTATGCAATATACAGTTAACTACCACTTTCTACTACCACTTCCCGTCCCCCCTCTCCTATATATACTGGCCAGTGGAAGGCTTCGGTCAGATGACCAAAAGTTCCAGCTGTAGGTCATCACATGACTAAGATCTGCATTAGGAAACACTTGTCCTGTTTCCTGACGAATGTTACCTAACTCTTTTGTGTTAGTGTGACTTTGTAAATGGTCCAAATCAGACCGAAACGTCGTCGTAAGCGTCTCTGTCGTATGTGCTGTTATTTGTTTACAGGTGACGTAGATTACACGTAAAAAAATATAGTTAAACACAAAAGAAAGTCACTATCATGCAGAGAATTTTGGGAAAATAACTTAAGCTTGCCTAAATTCACTCATATCATGATAAAATATGAGGTAATTCACTGATGTTTTTGTGGGTGAGTCTGTCTGTCGGAACACATCACTGCAGTTGTTACCAGATCATTAACTTGTGAAGAGTCCATTACTATATTAAGATGTTAGAAGTGATCAAGATCCCAGGACCGAAGCGTTGTCTGTTACGCCCTGGTGTTTACTCACGTATCTTTGAAAACCTTGAATATTAACTTACTTGGCTATGACAACATTGGGCTCAGTCGCCAGACCCATTACGTACCTCTGTAAGCTTGTCAGCAGCGCCCACAGGAATGCTCACTGTCAACACTATGTGCTTCATTATCCACATATTGAGGGATATATAGAGATTAATATCCTATGTGATATGTCAAGATATCTTATTAATGAAAATAAGATACCAGACATATTAAGCAAATTTCCTAAATTTGCTTGTAACAGATAAGTGAATGGCAGATATAAATCTAGATGTGCTCCTGTAAACCCTTTTGGGGCCTAGTTCCTAGGCCGTTTGTGTATCCATATGCTCTTACACTGTCATCCACAGGATGGATATGAGGTGGATAGCAAAGGTCTTAAATAATCCTTATCCTTCAGAGGATTCCTAATCCTCCGGGGTTACTAACCCTCGTAGGCTACTAATCTTCCTGGGTTATTAACCTTCCTGGGTTCACGATGGTTGCATTGTCCTGCTGAAGCCTCCAGACTGAGGTTCACAGGTTTCAACAGTGTGCATGAACCCCGTCCTGTGTGGCGGCACATGACAGGGCAACATAGCTAACTTTTGTTCCCACTGTGTAACTATCGTATACAATAGTGTAGTAGCACACTGCTCACCTATCCAGTCATGATAAATAAATTAAAAAATATATCTGGGATCACTGACACTCTGGGGTTACTAGCCCCCCTGGGTTATTAACTTTCTGGAGAAGCTAACACTCCGGAGTTACTAGCCCTCCTGGGTTATTAACTTTCTGGAGAAGCTAACACTCCGGAGTTACTAGCCCTCCTGGGTTATTAACTTTCTGGAGAAGCTAACACTCCGGAGTTACTAGCCCTCCTGGGTTATTAACTTTCTGGAGAAGCTAACACTCCGGAGTTACTAGCCCTCCTGGTTATTAACTTTTGGAGAAGCTAACACTCCGAGTTACTAGCCCTCCTGGGTTTTAACTTTCTGGAGAAGCTAACACTCCGGAGTTACTAGCCTCCTGGGTTATTAACTTTCTGGAGAAGCTAACACTCCGGAGTTACTAGCCCTCCTGGTTATTAACATTCTGGAGAAGCTACACTCCGGAGTTACTAGCCCTCCTGGGTTATTAACTTTCTGGAAGCTAACACTCCGGAGTTACTAGCCCTCCTGGGTTATTAACTTTCTGGAGAAGCTAACACTCCGGAGTTACTAGCCCTCCTGGGTTATTAACTTTCTGGAGAAGCTAACACTCCGGAGTTACTAGCCCTCCTGGGTTATTAACTTTCTGGAGAAGCTAACACTCCGGAGTTACTAGCCCTCCTGGTTTATTAACTCTCTGGAGTCACTAACACTCCGGAGTTATTAGCCTTCCTGGGTTATTAATCTTATGGAGTCACTAACACTCCGGAGTTACTAGCCCCCTGGGTTATTAACCCTCTGGAGTCACTAACACTCCCGAGTTACTATTCCCCTGGGTTATTAACCTTCTGGAGTCACTAACTTTACTGACTTAATATTCTGAATAAAATCATGGTCTTGCCGCAGGTACCGAAGACAGACAAGTCTGATCCTCGGAGGCTGAAGAAGGAGATGCCGAGGATGTTGAAGAGCATTGGTCCTGAGGATAAGATAGTTCTGGTGGGCATCACCAACGCGCCCTGGAACTGCGACGTCAAGGTGGGTCATAACATCAATTGATGTTAGCTTTGGTTTATTTAAAAGAGGTGCACCGGTAAGCCAGGTGAAAGACCTCGGTCATATGACCAAGGTCTTTCAGAGACACTACTTTTTACTACTACAACTCTGATTCTACTACTTCCTATTTTCTTTCTCTCTTGGTCCCGTCCCTGCCTCCTCCCTGGTTCCTTCACTCTCCTGTGTTAGTGTGACTAGTTAATGGTCCAAGTCGGACCGAAACGTCGTCATAAGCTTCTCTCTCTTCCTTTTTCCTAAAATCTTGCCTAACTTAAGCTACGTAAAGAATAACAAGAGACAGTATGACAACCTTTCGGTCCAGCTGAGACCATTAACTAGCCACACCTTCACCTTCGTGTTGGTGGGCAGCTCCTGGGCCAGTGATAATGGTGCATAGTTAAACGCTTCCTAATCTGACTTAAAGATTAATACACGTTAATGTAATCTAACTTAATCCAGCTTAAGAAACACTGAAGTTTTAAATAGAAAGTGTTCCTCATTACAGTCTACAATAGAAAGTGTTCATCGTGTACTCGGTCACCTTCCTGACTTTCATAACATTTGCATATGTTCATTAATACATAGGTCAGCTGACAGTATTATACCCATGTATTACACATGCTTCTTTCATTCTGATGAAGAATTAGACACGTGTGCAACATCTGGGTATCTTTATTTGTAGATCTCTCGCCATCCAGTGGTTTTTATCAATAAAAATTCAAGGATATAAAATTGGAAGACAGTAGAACCATATACAAATGAGGTAATCAGTCCCTCAGCCTTGGAGTTGGTGATCTTTTTTGTGTTTGGTATACAGTGTCCCTTTTGAATTCTTCATTCTTTCTTTCCACCACTGAGTATCGTACTCTATTGCACACTGGAAGATATTTTATGGTATGAAAGAGAGAAAGAGAGAAATACCAATGTAATGTTTGTGTTTCTCCAGGCAATGTCTTCAGTATACCAGAAGATGTTGATGGTGCTGCGACCTAGCTTCAGTGCCAGGGCCTACCTCTGGCGACACCTCATCACCAAGAATGGTGCCAAGGTAAGCAGGTACCTCTAGTAAGATACCTCGCTACCAAGAGAGGCGCCACGGTAAGCAGGTGCCTCTACCTACTGTTCAGTGAACATAGATAGCTTTTACCTAACCTTCTAAGATGTTATACAGATCTAGATAACTTTCACCTCTGCCTGCTGTTAGGAGACTTCCCCTCCCCTACCCCCCAGGGTAGGGGCCTTGATGCTAGTAAGGAGCGCTTGATCCGAGGAACTGAACCTGGTCATGGTTTCCAAGCATCAAGTCTGATTGCTTCTCGTTCCCCAGGCGATGTGTGACCGTGATCCTCTTAGTGCTTCTCCACCAGTAATAATAATAATAATAATAATAATAATAAATAATAATAATAATAATAATAATAATAATAATAATAACGATAATGTATGCTTCTCCAATAATAATAATAATAATAATAATAATAATAATAATAATAATAATAATATATGTTAATTGAGTTGTCTTTGCTCACCTGCTGACACAGCTGACACCCAGTCTTGACATTAGTGGACTGTCTCGTATCAGTGATGGCTACACATCTGGTCACATCTGTAGTGTGGTCAGTCAGGTGAGTGATGGCTACACATCTGGTCACATCTGTAGTGTGGTCAGTCAGGTGAGTGATGGCTACACATCTGGTCACATATGTAGTGTGGTCAGTCAGGTGAGTGATGGCTACACAATGATTACCTTCCGTTCCCCTAGGTGCTGTGTGACTGTGGCGTGATAATGTAGCTAGGTGTTCTAGGAGGAACCTGTGACGAACAAGCACGTCGCAGATCAACAACGTAAACTTTCATTTTATTTTTCAACAACAGTCTAGAGAAATTGTAAAAAAAAAAAGGTACATTTCATTTGACTTTTCTTCGTAGAGAAAATCTTGGCCAGAATCATATAGTGTAGGTTGAGAAATGGGATTGATATGCAAGGTGGTTCTGGACACTGAGTGTCCAGCGTTAAAGGATAGTGTCTAGTGTCCAGGAAGAATAATGTATTGACAGTGTATAATACATTTTAGAACAAACCAGAAATATAAGTATATGAATTTACATAACAAAATATAGCTTAAGTCCCCCATTAGACAATTATATAAGAATTTACATAGAAAAAATAAAGCTTAATTTCCTTAGTAGACAATTATATAAGATATCAAAACTAAGCACACATGTTACACAAGAATAAAATGGTTTAAACTGAACTCACAGGCGAGTCAACTAGTGTTTAGACTCCACCTGTGCTCAGAGGCTGACACCAACACTGGTGTTAATTCTCACTTAGAGTACAAATTAATTCCGTGTTGGGCTTAGAGGTTAGACAATCTATGACTCTCTCAAACGAAGTCAGCAATGGATGTATAAGTCAGGAACTAAGACCAACCCAGGATAGTGTGTAAGAAATGTATTTGTATATGTATTATGGCTATTGTGAGCAGCAAGTGAGCACGATCACCAGTCCACTGGTCAGAGCTAGAGTAACTGCATGAGCGCGTCTGTTAGGACCCCACTGGGAATAATAAGACCTCAATAGAAATAATAGGACTCCAATGGAAATTAGTCACTTTGACTTTTTTGGGTTATCCTAGATAATTTATTACTGTATGATACCTGTATTGTACTCATATGTACCTGTAATTAAATAAACTTAATGGGGTTTAAAGCATACTGACTACACAAGGGTCTTTAGTGGTGTATGTAACCTGTTCACCACCTGATAAAAATGATATAATTTCCTAATAGTAGTGTGTGTGATGGTCATATAATAGTAAATAAAGTGTGCATATAATGATTCTTAAGGCATGTGTTACATAGTGTTTTAGAGAAGTGTACAGCAGGATGACAGAGTTGTGATGTACACAGGTGGTGACGGAGCAGCGTCTGGCCAAGCAACACAAGACCCCACTAAACTCTCTGGAATTCGTAGTACCTCTCAGTAAGATTGAACCTATCTACAGGTAAGTGAATATTGTATGTATGTATGTATATATATATATATATATCTTAATTATTATCAGAGCCAGGTGTTGAACATGTGTCTTGTTTATCCACTCTCAACCTGTGAAAATCATGTGTGTGAGAAGTGAGGTTATGTGTTGCTTGTAGGGAGGAAGAGGAGGCGCTGCGAACCTGGTTCCTCAAGACGCCCATCATGAAGAAGCGAGCCAAGTACCTGGAGGAGGAGCTGGAGGCGCAGGGTCTTAAGGGTAAGGGCGCCAAGAAGCTCCAACAAAACAAACCCAAAGGCAAAAAGGGAAAGAAAAAGAAGAAAAAGTAACAACTTGAACTGTAAAAAATATACGAGAGTAAAATAAAACTTTTTTAAGGCAGTTTTGTTGTCTCTTCCTAATTATTATATTACATTGTGTATATTGTGTCATTTCTACAGGGCGGTCTCTTCTACAGAGCGGTCTCTTCTACAGAGCGGTCTCTTCTACAGAGCGGTCTCTTCTACAGGGCGGTCTCTTCTACAGAGCGGTCTCTTCTACAGAGCGGTCTCTTCTACAGGGCGGTCTCTTCTACAGGGCGGTCTCTTCTACAGAGCGGTCTCTTCTACAGAGCGGTCTCTTCTACAGAGCGGTCTCCCACGGTACGGTCTCCTCTAAGCGGACTCCTTCCGCGCCGCGCTCGCTCGCCCCCCCGCGACCCCCCCCCGCGCCCGCCCGACCGGGACCCGCCCGACCGGCGCCCGCCCGCACACGTGCCTTCTGCAGCGTCCTCCGGATCGCCCCCGCTCCCCGAATTTTTTCCGATTTTCGAATTTTTTTTGAATTTCATTTTCTTGTGCTCTCCATCTCCTTGGATCAAGTTTTTGGGTTTCCCTATATGGGTACCCCTACCACCACCCTCTTCCACCCCAAATATTCCTGCTCCATCTCCTTGGATCAAGTTATTCTCGATATCAATAATACAAAGACTCCACTTCCTTGGATCAAGTTTTTTGGATTCCCCCCTATGGGGTTTCAAATTTCTTATGATCTCCTCGGATCAACACCCTCCCCCCACACCTCCCACCACCCACTTTTACCCCAAATATTCCTGCTCTACTTCCTTGGATCAAGTTTTTCTCGATATCAATAATACAAAGACTCCACTTCCTCGGATCAAGTTTTTGGGTTCCCCTCTGGGGGGTAAACATTCAAAATGGACTCCCACTTGCATCCCAAATTTCC